ACTCGCCAGACAGACAGAGAGAAACATAGAGACAGAAAGCGAGAAATCACCCCCCAGGGGGGATGGTCACACCGCAATCCCTTCTCCTCCATTCTCCTCTAGGGATCTTGGGCACGCACGCACACACGCCCGGCGTGAGTTTTACGCCACCTGGTCCGGGACGCGAACCGCGGTCGACTACATAGGAGTCCAGCGACATAGCCATTACGCTAACTGCTGGTTCCCAAGCCTCCATCATCTTCATTCCCAAAACAGATAAAGACGTGACAAAAAAGGAAAACTACAGACCAATATCGCTGATGAATATAGACGCAAAAATTCTCAACAGGATACTTGAAAATCGTATCCAACAAGGGTGGTTCAACATACTCGAAACCAAAAATATAATACACCATAGTGACAGAAAGAAAGATAAAAACCATATGATCATTTCAATTGATGCAGAGAGAGCATTTGATAAAATAGAACATCCTTTCAAGACTCTCAGCAAGATTGGTAATAGAAGGGTCATTTCTCAACACAACAAAAGCCATATATGAAAAACCTATAGCTAACATTATGTTGAAAGCTTTTAGCTTTTCCACTAAAAACTGATACTAGACAAGGCTTCACATCTTTCTCCACTTCTTTTCAATATAGTACTAGAAGTCTTAACCAATGCAATCAAAAAAGAAAATAAGGGACCAGCAGTTAACGTAATGGCTATATCACTGGACTCCCATGTAGTCGACCACGGTTCATCCAGACCCGGTGGCTTAAAACTCATGCCAGGCACGTGTGCGTGCGTGCCCAAGATCCTGAGAGGAAAATGGAGGAGAAGGGATTGCAGCGTGGCCATCCCCCCTAGGGGGTGATTTCTCACTTTCTATCTCTCTGTCTCTGCCTGTCGGGCAAGCGCTTGCAACCCATAGCAAAAAAAAAAAAAAAAAAAAAAAAAAAAAACACTCCCAAAAAAAAAAAAAAAAAAAAAAAAAAAAAAAAAGAATAATATAAAAGTCATTTAACTAGGCAGAGAAGAGTGAAAAATATCTTTATTTGCAGATGACATGATGGTATATTTAGAAGACCCAAAGGTTTCCATGAAAAAATGAATAAAGTGCCAGACTACAACATCCAAAAATCTATAGCATTTCTATATATGAACAACAAGTTGAATGAAGTAGAGCTGAAGAAAGGAATCCCTTTTACCATAGCCACGAATCTATAAGATATCTAGGGATAAACCTAGCTAAGGAAGTCAAAGACCTCTACAAAGAAAACTATGAAAATCTTTAAAAAAGATTGCAAATGACACAAAAAAAGTGGAAGGACATCCCATGTTTCTGGATTAGAAGAATTAATATAATCAAAATGGCAATTCTACCCAAATTAATTTAAATATATAATGCAATTTCAATCAAAATACCAGAGACAGTCTTCACAGATCTAGAAAAGACAGTCATAGAATTTGTTTAGAATCATAAAAAGACCCCATATTGCCAAAGCAATCCTACGCAAGAAGAGCGGAGTGGGAGGCATCTCACTCCCAGACCCCAAAATATACACAAAGCTGTGATAACTAAAACAGCATGATATTGGCACAAAGACAGACAGAGGTGGACCAACAGAACAGAGACCCCAGAAATAAACCCCAAAAGTTAGAGCCAACTGATTTTTGACAAAGGACACCAGTCAATCCTATAGGAAAAGGAAAACCTCTTTATCAAATGGTGCTGGAAAAATTGGGTATCCACCTGAAGAAAGATAAATATGAACTCCCAGCTTTCACCATGGACAAAAATCAACTCAAATTACCATGTGATCCAGCAATCCCACCCCTTGGTATCTACCCAAAGGACAGAAAAATTCTAAATCAGAAAAGTGCTTGTTCATCGATGTTTATTGTGGCACTATTCACAACTGCTAAGACATGGAACCAACCCAAATGCCCAAAAAACAGGTGAATGGATTAATAAACATGGCACATATGGCACATATACTCTATAGATAAGCCTCAGAATGAGAGCTTATTTTTGTAAACTATGCCTCAGATAAGGGACTGATAATCAGAATACACAGGGTACCCAAGCAGCTTACCTGAAAAAAAAAATGATTAACCCAATTAAAAGATGGGAAAATGAGCTGAACAAAAATCTCTCTAAGGAAGACATACAAACAGCCAAAAACATATGAGGAAATGCTCAACATTCCTCTTCATAAGGGAGATGAAGATTTAAACCACAATGAGAAATCACCTAACTCCTGTCAGAATGGCAAAGATCAAAAAGTGTTAAGTGTTGGTGGGGCTGTGGTGAAAGGGGAACTCTCCTACACTGTTGGTGGGAATGTAAATTGGTCCAGCCACTGTGGAAAACAATATGGAGGTTCCTCAAGGATCTACAAACAGAACTACCACTTGATCCAGCAGTCCCTCTTCTGGGTATCTACCCAAAGGACAGGAGAATGCTTAACTGGAAAAGCGCTTGCGCATCAATGTTTATAGCAGCATTATTCATGATCGCTAAGACATGGAACCAATCGAAATGTCTACGAATGAATGAATGGATTTAAAAAGTGTTGCACATATAGTCTATGGAATACTATGCAGCCATTAAAAAATAATAATAATAAAAGAAGACCCCGGCTACTAATTGAAAGTGGTCAAATATGGAAGATTTGTTGCTGAATGTAGCAAGTCAAACTACCAAAGATATTGTATGTTTCCACTTAATATATACTGACTTTCCGCACTCTGTGGTAGAAATTGAACTACTGGAGGGCATAAAAACAGTGGAAATAGTTATCGACACTAGAAGTGGGGGAAGGGAAGAATACAAAGAAGGAAAACGAGAAAAGGAAGCGTGGCATTTGTGGGACAAAGAAATGGTTTACTACCTGTTGATGATAATGTGTTTAGTATTCTCAACTGGACTGGTCTGAGAAGTAGTTCATGTTAGGTAAATTCTCTTTACAAGCCAAATGATGTATAGCGAGTGACTGTTTAATAAGAATTTAAAAAATCATCTGAAAAAAATGAAAAGCTATTCGCTGAGGCTGCTGCTGTGGATAGTAATGTCTTTGTCTTAACTGATACGCATGGTAATGGTGCTGGAAAGGAAATGTTATACACTGTAAAGGTATATGTAATTAAATGTAATTAAAACAGCAAAAGTGGGAGGGACTGTGAGAAGGCACCGGAAGCGGTGAGGCTGGGGCAACGGTCCAGGAGATGGTGGCCTGGGGGACCACAGCGCTCTAGGGCACAGGCCACTGCGGCCAGGAGAAGCCCGAGGTGCTCCCAGGGACAGAGGGACCGAGTAACGCAGGGAGGAACCGAGTCCCGCCCGGAGCGCGACCCAGGCACTTGAACTCGCGACGACCTGGCACCTGGGGGCGCAGCGGGCGGGCAGGGTGGCTCGGCCTGGGCGCCCACCACTCAGGGCGGGGAAGGTGGAGGCGGCGCGCTGCGAAGTTGGCACTCGGCGCTCGGCGAAGTTGGCGCCTAGAGCACAGCCACACCATGGGGTCCCACAATTTGGAGTTGGTGTTTGACCGCGTGGGGCACTTCGGAAGGTAGGCGGTTGGGGTGGGGCGGGAGGGGCAGCTGGCGCCATGGGCCTGGAGCAGCTGGTGGGGTCTGTTTCTTTCCGTTGCCGTGGCGTTCTAGCGCTGCTCTCGTGCTCCTGAAACAGCTCCACTCCCTCTTTTTCCGGAAAGGTCTGGAGACCGGCGTCCAAAAGCTTGGCCCCGACCTGGGCTAGTCCTTTCGGACTTGGAGACTTGACCTTCCCAAGGCGAACGAGAGACACTGGGGCTCGATAGGGATGCGCTGGGTGCGAGGCCCCCAGGCGTGCCTGGTGCGGGACAGGAGGCCCCTGAGGCGCGTCCTTTGCTGCAGCAGGGGTCAGGAGGTCCCGCCATTGGGGCCCTGTCCCATCAGTAGCAGAGTGGTTGTGGCTGCTGCATTACCACGCCACAGAAGGGTCTCCCTCCGTGCTTGGCAGCTATTCGCCAGGATTAGCGTTAGTTGGAGTTGGACACCGTCTATGGAAATCTAGTGTGTGCCAGGTACTCTGACAGCTACTTACCTCAGTCCACAGGGACCCTGGAAAGGAGGTGTTCAAATTCTTTTTATTTTTTATTTTTTTTATTTTTTAAGAGAGATTTCTGCTATAGGGCATGTGCACTCACCAGAGAGACAGAAAGTGAGAAATCCCCTGGAGGGATGGCCAGGCCACAATCCCTTCTCCTCCATTCTCCTCTGGGGATCTTGGGCACACACTCACACGTGCCTGGCCAGTCCCGAGTTTAAGCCAGCAGGTCCAGGATTCGAACTACAGTCAACCATGTGGGAGTCCAGCCACTAACCATTGCCATCTGCTGGTCCTGGAGGTGTTCGAATTCTTAAGGGGTAACTGAGGCTGATAGGATCAAGGACTCATGGTTACAGCATGGTGGGACCTAGGTTTAACCCAAGCACATCCTCTTGTCATTTAAATTAATTTTAAAAACTTTAGAAAAAAAGGTCTTATTCATATTGACAAATGCTGCTCCCATCCAGAGTGTGTCAAGAGGAGAGGCAGGTGCCTGAGGGGCTGTTCATACAATGGCCAGAGGTTTGGAGCTCAGCCTGAATCCTGGCCTACCACATGCCTAAGATTTTGCTTGGAATACTTTGTGCCTCAGTTTCCTAGCCATAAAATGAGAGTCATCCGAATTCCTGCCTTCCCTCTCACCACCTGGGTGAAGAGATGACGGGTGTTCTTCAAGGCAGAGGGTGGCCCATGATGATTATGTGCTCAGTGTCTGCAGAGAGCAGGTGGTTGAGCAGAGTGAAGAGCAGGAGGCTCCTGCTCTCTCCTGCTTCCTCCTCTGAGCCTGGCTCTTGCAGTGAGCTCTTTGAGCTCATTGTGTCCTTTCATCTTCACCATAGCCCTAGCCATTGGCAATATCACCCTCATTAAAATGTAAACAGAGGAGGGGACCAGCAGTTAGCATAATGGCTATGTCGCTGGACTCCCACTTAGTCGACCACAGTTCGAGTCCCAGACCTGGTGGCTTAAACTCACACCGGGCATGTGTGCGTGTGTGCCCAAGATCCCGAGAGGAGAATGGAGGAGAAGGGATTGCGGTGTGGCCATCCCCCCTGGGGGGTGATTTCCTGTTTTCTGTCTCTCTGTCTCTCTCTGTCTGGCGAGCGCACGCGCCCTATAGAAAAAAAAAAAAAACTCTCCAAAAAAAATAAATAAAATAAAAAGGGAAAAAATGTAAACAGAGGAGAACACCAGGGCTTTTATGTCTCAGGCTCCTAATAGCAGAGCAGAATTGGATGCTGTTGGTGTCCACTGGCCTCCACAGTGCGTACTCCTAACCGTGATACGACCCGAGTCCCCAGGCTCTATACCTGTTATCTCACTGTATGCTTCCGGAAGCAGTATAACGCTGGATTAAACAATCAGCTCTGAAGTCAGATGTCTGAGTTCCGATCATGGCTTTACCAGACATCAACCATATAGCCTTAAACATTTTATTTATGACTTCCTCATCCATAAAGTGGAGGTTAAAAATAGTGCTACAAATGCTTACAAATATAGTCATACCTTGGTATCTGTGGGGGTGGGTCTAGGACCCGCTTGGATACTAAAATCAACAGATGCTCAAGTCCTTTATGTAAGAAGGCATAGTGTTTGCATATAACCCATGTACATCCTTCTGTACATATTTAAATAATGTCTAGATTACTTATAATACCAAATACGATATGAATCCTGTGTAAATATTTGTGTTACTATATTTTAAAATATGAATTATTTTTTAAATGATAAGAGTCCTATAGGGCATGTGCACTTGCCAAAGACAGACAGAAAGAGAGAAGGAAAGTGAGAAATCACTCCCCAGGGGAATGACCACCACACAATCCCTTCGCCTCCATTCTCCTCTTGGGACTTAAAGCACACTTGTAGCTGGTGTGACTTTCAAGCTGCTGGGTACAGGACTTGAACTTTGCAGCCAGTCTGTGGGATCCAGCCATCTTAACCTCTGCACCATCTGCTGCCACCCCAAAATTTGCATTATTTTTTTTACTGTTGTATTATTCTTTTTCAAATATTTTTGATTCACATTTCACAGTTGGTTGACTCCATGGATGCAGAACTTGCAGAGACAGAGGGTCAATTGTAATAGTAATAGAAACGTTTGTTATGAGGACTCCACATGTGAGCTCCTCGTTGTTAACTGTATGAGGTAGAGGTACTAATACTCTACTTCCCCTGTATTTTAGGGATTAACTAAGGTAAACAAACCACCATTAGTTGGTGATTGACTGGGGTGCCTTATCAAAGAGATCCCTCAGTAGGAAGGTTGTCTCTCTCCAGTAACTGGCCAGAGCAGGATCTGTTCCATTGGGTTATCCATCGACTCAAGTAGGTAGGGTAGCTCTCCTGTCCATAGCGAGGGGCTCCCTGTAGAGCCTGTGGCAGCTGCTCCTGTTGTTCTTACCCACATGGTCAGACAGCTCTCCATGGAGGGAGAAGAGGCGTGAATGGATTTGGGGAGACAGTAATGTATGTAAAAATCTTAACATTCAGTAAGTTCTCAATAAGTCGTGGCTGTTATTGTTACCCGAGTTCTTATACTGGTGGGCAGGATTGACAGGTGAAAGCAACTTGCAGAAGGGAAAGATGAGAAGTTAATGCTTACAGCAGAAGGTGAAAGCAGGGTAACACTTTTTTCCTCTGGTGTGTTTTCTGGTTGGTCTTTTTATTGTTTATAAATGGAATGGGAGATTATTATTAGTTTTCTCTTAAAAAAAAAAAAACGAGTTAGTGGCCAGCGGGTGGTATGGTGGTTAAATGCTGAATGGCAGTTCAAGTCCTGGAAGTGGAGGCTTGAAAATCATGCTGGGCATGGGTATGTGGATGCCCCAAATCCCAGGAGAATGGAGGAGAAGGAATTGTGGTATAGCCATCCCCCCAGGGGGTGATTTCTTATTTTCCCTCTCATTGCCTTTCTATGTCTTTCTCTGGCAAGCGCAGGCCCCCTATGGCAAAAATCTGAAAGGAAGAAGAAAGAATGAAAGAGAGAGAGAGAGGAGAAAGAGAGAGGGAGAGAGAGAAAGAAAACCTAGTGAATGTATGAAGCAGAGAACCCTGATTACCATGCATTTCTCGTAAGTAAGGTAAGAGTAAAGAAGCACTAGTCTAATAAGAGAGGGAAAAGGGATTCCTAAGAAGAATTAAAAAGCGGTGGTAGGACTTGTCCTGAAACCATACTGAAGGTCTGTAAACACCATAGCTTAAGTAAGACCTGTGGAGAGGAATTTAAAGAAACTGAGATTCAAGCATCTGTGTTGAAAGGATCTAAGAAACGGAGTCCTGAGGTAGTTGTCTTGGGATAAGGGGAAAGACCATTTAAAAATTTCTGATTTTGGATGAAGAGCCTGTGGTTGACCCCCACTTCTGTGATAGGTAGTTTCGTTTGTTTTTGTTTTAAAGTATAAAGGTTTTTTTTAGTCTCTTTTTTGACTTCAGCTTATGAATATCAAAACCGTAACACTTATTAATACTGGGTTGTCAGAAAAGTCATGATGCATTTTTGCATTAAAAAACAGAAAAAAATACATCATCACTTTTCCAACAACCCAATATGTGCATCTATAGCATGCCATAGTGCTTCCTGTGGGTTAACTGATTTCATAACAGCCCCTTGTACAGATGAAGACACTGAGGCCTAGAAAGGGTAAGGAGTTTACCCAAGACTGAGGTGGTCACAGAGGCATATAGTTGCATGTTAGTCTAAATACGCAATGGTTTACTATTATATTTAAAGGGATTCATATATATTTTTAAATTTTTCCATTTAAATTTCTAGTATGTAAATGAGGATAAAAGACTGATGACTTTTTCCTATCTCCAAAATCCCTTACATAGAACCTGGGGTGAGTCACACCCACAAGCATGAACAGATCGTTTTTGGCCCATTTGATAACAGGACTCTTCCTACATCCTGTCCCTTGAATAGTATCTTTGTGATAGGTGAGTCACGTCCAGAAGCATTAATAGACCTTTTGAGTCTGATAATAGGACTCTTCCTACATCTTGTCCTTGGGACAGCACCTTGTGATGTGCTGATGCCTTCCCAAAACACAGACCTTCCTTTCCAATCACCAGCTTAAAGATTGTAAAAGCTACCTATGCCTTACAAGCCCCCACTTCCAGATGCTCAGCCTTTTTTTGGTTAGAATAGTGGAAAACTCTTTTTACTAAATTCTAAACCTTGTCTCTCACTCTCAAAATCAAATAAAAGGAACCCCTTCACCTGATCACCCCAAGAAAGGCATGTTTGCCTCTTCTCCAGGTCTGGATCACACACATTAGTGCTTAGAAAAAAAAAAAAAACTGCATTAATTATTACTTTCGCAGAGTTGTTTATTTCCATTGACATAAATATTGATAGAGATGACCCAGTTAAAGAAAAGTCCCTTGGGGACCTCAAAATTCATTAAGTGTGGGGACCAGCAGATGGCCTAATGGCTTTGTCACTGAACTCCCATGTAGCTGACTGTGGTTCAAGTCCTGGACCTAGTGGCTTAAACTCACACTGGGCACGTGTGCATGCGTGCCCAAAATTTTGATAGAAAAATGGAGGCAAAGGGGTTGCGGTATGACCATCCCCTCTGGGGGGTGATTTCTCACTTTCTGTCTCTCTGTCTCTCTCTGTCTCTCTGGCGAGTGCATGCGCCCTATAGCAAAAACCTCTCCAAAAAAAAAAAAGAAATGTCACTGTTGATTTGACATTTGTAAATTTGAAGCCCTATAGAAAAAACCCCTCCAAAAAAAAAAAAAAGAAATGTCACTGTTGATTTGACATTTGTAAATTTGAAGACAGATAGAGAATGAGAGAGAGAGAGAATGGCACCCCCAACAGGCTTATCTTGTATTTTCCTTGTCTATTTTTCCTGACTTCTTTTACTGGAGAATGCCATTTAGAGACCAGGATCTGGTATGTGTGTAGCTACTGAGATGTCATTCCTTCTAAGCCTTTTCAGTAGGCAGAGCTAGGCTTTGTGTATATATACATATACATAACCCATAGATACAAACATATCTATAATGATTTTTATTTCTTTCTTTACTCTTCTGTATATATGTTAAGGTAAACATGTTAGAGACCCTTCGTATTTTCTTGTGGTTTTTCAGCTTATCAGGCAGTTATAATAACTAATTTTTTCTTTTCTTGCAGATTCCAGATAGTCCTCTATTTTATATGTGCCTTCCAGATCATTTCTTGTGGTATCCATTATTTGGCTTCTGTGTTCATGTTATTCACTCCTCATCATACCTGCAAGCCCCCAGGCAATGTGAGTCAGATTCTTTCCTACGATCTCTCTACTTGGAATCTGGAGAACATGTTTGCCATGTTGACCCCGGCCCAGAAAAATAATGTTACAGTACAGCTGCACAACGGTGAGATCTGGGAACTTTCGAAGTGTACCAGGGTCCAGAAGGAGAACACGTCACAGTTCAAAGGTAGATACAGCAGTGGGAAGACTGACCTTCTGTGCTTGGATGGCTACATATATGACCGTAGCCAGTGGAAAAGCACTGTGGTGACTGAGTGGAATCTAGTCTGTCACAGAAGATGGTTTGCACAACTGATCCAGCCCGGATTTATGTTGGGAGTCATGCTGGGATCACTGATATTTGGCTACCTTGCTGACAGGTAAAATGAAATATCTAGGATTGTTACATTATTTAGGGTTCATTTTCCTGTCTGATTTTCTTAGGAGACAGATGCCTTTAGGGGAAAGGGGAATTGACACAATGCTTTTCTGCTCATTGTGCTGTAACTAATGACATCCTTTTGTCTTTGACCCATGAGTCTTGTGTTTTCTGCCATTATCCATTAAAAGCAACAGATTAATTTATTAATTTAAAAGTAGAGTCCATTTAAGGGGGGTCAGCAGATGGCATAGCAGTTAGGTCTCTCAACTCCCACATAGCTGACCGCAATTTGAATCCTGGACCTGGTGACTTGAAAATCATGCAGGGCGCATGTGCATGCGTGCCCAAGGTCTTGGGATGAGAATGGAGAAGTGATTGCAGTATGGCCATCCCTCAGGGAGATTTTCCCTCTCTCTGTCTCTGTTTCTCTTTCTCTGTCCCTCTGGCAAGTGCACATGCCCTAAGGAAAACCTCTAAAAAAAAAAAGTAGAGTAGAATCAAATTTAAGACCCTTTGCTTGCCATCATCCTAGGCCCGAGGGGAGTCTCATAATTATTTTTCACAATATATAAGTAGGTCAGTCAAAAACAAAACACATGCTAAAAAGGCACCATGTGTGAGAATTAGCAGAAAACAATAGGCAACAGAAGCAGATTTCTATGCAAATACTTCAAATACTGGTATTATCAGGCACAAATAATAAAATAGCAATGGTAACTCTCTATAAAGAAATAGAAGACAAGTTTGAAAAGATCGATAAAAAGATGGAAATTGTATTTTTAAATGACATAAAATTGAAGAATACCTATGACATTCAGACATAAAAAACAAGTAAGTGAATAACAAATCTTCTGGATAGTTCGTTTGTTCTTTCTTTCTTTCTTTCTCTTCCCCGCCTCCCCCCAACAGAGAGCATATGCACTTGCCAGAGAGAGAGAGAACTTTCTGGTAAGTTGTGGTCATACCACAATTCTTTTCCTTCCATTTCTCCATCCTGTTGGGATTTGGGGCATGTAGACATGCGTGCCTGGCATGTTTTTCAAGCCATGAGGTCTGGGACTCAAACCATGATTTGCTATGTGGGATCTAGCTCCCTTAACCATGTAATATGCGGCAGCCGCCCCTGCACCAGATAGTTTTAACATCTATTAAACACAGCAAAAAGGATGATATCTCAGAAAAAATGATCAGTAATAAAATTCAGAGAGACAAAGAGGTGGGGAAATAGGATAAATTAAAATTCATGATGAGAGAGGGAAAAGGTGTGAAGTATATTTAATATTACAACTAATTGATGGAATTTATCACATTAACAAATTAGAGGACAAAATTCATATAATTGACTCAAAAATACAGGAAAAGCAATTGATCAATTTTATAATCCAGTACCAGCAGATAGTGTAATGGCTATGTCACTGGATTCCCTTGTGATCAACCGCAGTTTGAGTCCTGGACCCAGTGGCTTAAACTCACGCCTGGCGCGTGTGTGTGCATGCCCAAGATCCCGAGAGGAGAAGGGATTGTGACTTGGCCACCCCCCCCTAGGGATTGATTTCTTGCTTTCTGTCTCTCTGTCTCTCTCTGTCTTTCTGTCAAGTACACATGTCCTATAACAAAAACTTCTCAAAAAAAAATTCTAAATCCATTCATGATAAAAACTAAAAATAGGGAGGCCAGCAGGTGACGTGGTGGTTAGGGTGCTGGACTCCCACATGGCTTACCATAGTTCAAGTCCTACCTGGTGGCTTGCTTTTTCACTTTCTCTCTCTCTCTCTCTCTGGTGAGTGCACGTACCTTATAGGAAATTAAAAAGTAAAATAAAGGGACTAGCAGATGGTGTAATGGTTATGTTACTGAGCTCCCACGTCCCTGACCTGTCAGCTTGAAACACACTCGGGGTGTGTGTGCATGCATGCCCAAAATCCTGAGAGGAGAATGGAGGAGAAGGGATTGCAGGGTGGCCATCCCCCCTGGGGGGGGTGTTTTTCACTTTCTGTCTCTCTCTGTCTCTCTGGTGAGTGCACGTGCCCTATAGCAAAAATCTCTCTGTAATAAATAAATAAGTAAAATAAATAATTTGTAAAAAATAAATAATAAAAACACTAATAATAGGGGCTAGCAGGTGACGTAGTGTTTACATTGCTAAACTCCCACATGGCTGACAACAGTTCAAATCTCAGACCCAGCAGTTTGACCATCACACCAGGCATGTGTGTGCATGCATGCCCAAAATCCCAGCAGGAGAATGGAGGAGAAGGGATTATGGCATTCCTCCTGGGGGTAATTTCTCACTTTCCCTCTCACTGTCTCTCTGTTTCTTTCCAGCAAGCACATGCACTCTATGGGAAAAGGATCGATGAGTGCTGAGACAGCTGTTCAGTCACATAAAAGTAAATACAATTGGATTCCCTTCCTCACACTTCATAGTACTTTTTTTTTAAGTTTATGTATTCATTTCTTCCATGAACGAGAAAAGATATAGAGATAAGGAGAGAACCCTCAACAGGGTCTTGACATGGTGATCCATCTCCTGCCTTCAGCCATTGAGGGATCACAGACAAGTACACGATCATTATACTAAGAGAGTTCACCAGACGTGAACTGGGAACTTCCCCATGTAAGACTGGCTCACAGAGCATCACATTTTACAGATGGCATAAGTCATTAGACATTCCCATGGCTAAACACAGTTTGAATCCCAGGATCTGGTGATTTGAAAATCATGCCAGGCATGTGTACATGTGCCCAAAATCCCAAGAGAAGACTGGAAAAGAAAGAGATTGTGGTGTGGCCATCTCCCTGGGGGTGATTTCATGCATACCAAAGCAAAAACCTAAAAATAAATAAATAAATAAGAATATACTCGATTAATTAAAAGTACAGTATATTAAATACATAAAGTAGTAACACAGTTGTTTATGATCAAGTATTATGTATTATACATAATTATAATTGATTATAAACAACTGTGATAATATACGTAATTATAATTATAACACATAATACTTGATCATAAACAACTGTGTTACTACTTTATGTATTGTATGTGCTACACATTTATATGTGGTATATATTTATATGTGATATACATTTATATGTACTATCCATTTATATGTGGCATTCATTTATATGTAGTATACATGTGTATGTACATCTATGTGCTATACATTTATATGACTGGCAGTGCAGCAAGTTCGTTTATACCAGTGTCACCACAAACACGTAAATAATGCATTGGGCTATAACATCGTGGGCAATAGGAATTTTTCAGTATAATCTTATGGGCCCACTGTCATATATGTGGTTTGTTGACTGAAACATAGTTATACATGATTATATTCTGTTATAGAAAAAAAATTTTTTTGGAGAGGTTTTTGCTCTAGGGTGCATGCGTTCACCAGAAAGACAGAGAGACAGTGAGACAGAAAGTGAGAAATCACCCCCCAGGGGGATGGCCATGCTACAATCCCTTCTCCTCTATTCTCCTCTCGAGATCTTGGGCACACATGCACACATACCTGGTATGAGTTTAAGCCACTAGGTCTGGGACTCAAACCGTGGTTGACTACATGGAAGTCCAGCAAACATAGCCATTACACCAGCTGCTGGTCTATGTTATAGAAAATTTAAAACCATATACCAAGGGCCAGGAGGCAGCAGGATGGTTGAGGTGCTGGACTCCCATAAGGTTGACTGTGGTTCAAGTCCCAGACCTGGCGGCTTGCTTTTTCACTTTCCCTCTCTCTCTCTGGTAAGTACACATGCAAATTAAAAAATAATAATAATAAACTAAATTAAATAAATAATTCTTTAAACAAACATATACCAAAACAAATCTATTTTCTTCATAAAGAATAACATACATTGGAAGGGACCAGCAGTTAGAGGAATGGCTATGTCGCTGGGCTCCCATGTAGTCAAATGCCGTTCGAGTCCCAGACCCAGCGGCTTAAACTCACGCTGGGCACGTGTGCGTGCATGCCCAAGATCCCACGAGAAGAATGGAGGAGAAGGGATTGTGGCATGGCCATCCTCCTTGGGGGGTGATTTCTCACTTTCTGTCTGTTTCTCTCTGTTTCTCTGGTGAGCGCACGCGCCCTATAGCAAAAACCTCTCCAAAAAAAAAAAGAAGAAGAAGAAGAATGTGCATTGTTTGGGTTGCATATAAAAGCAGTAAAATGGAATGAAAAACGAGGAATTGATAATCATCAAAATTAGGATAATGGTTCTTCGTAAAAGAGGGCAAGTGTTTGTGATCACAAAGGGAAGTGTGAGAAGCTGTTGGAAGGCTGGAAGTGATCCCTTTCTTGCCTTTAGTTGTGATTTGTGTTTGATTCTTTTTTCTTTACTCATAGTAGAGCATGTGTGAGAGATAAGCACCCTCCCCGGGACCTGGTCATGCTGCTCTCTTCCAGTTTTCCAGCGTCAGATTTGGGGCATTCACAGTGCAGTTGTCAAGTGGGATCTGGCCTCCTCAGACCAGCACATTACCGCTATGTCACAGGGCCAGCCCGGTGTTTAAGTTTTTATTATTCTCTAAACCATAGCTAATTTTAGACATTGTCATGTATGTTTGATATATTTAAAAAGAAGAGAAATAATATCTGATCCCATCCTTGAAGAGTTAAAAGTGGAAGAGAGTTTTCAACAGATAATATTAGTAAAATGCGGTAAATGCTTTTAAAACAGTGATAACACTTCACATTTATGGATAACTTACTACACACTAGATCTTATTCTAACTGTCTTGTGTATGATCTCATTCTTATTATTTAAAAGTATATCTATCTATCTATCTATCTATCTATCTATCTATCTATCTATCTATCTATCTATCTATCTATCTATCTATCTATCTATCTATCTATCATCTATCTACCTATCTTTTTGTTTGTTGTAATTTCAAAGCTGCCAAGACTGAGACTTGAACTGTGGTCAGCCATGTGGGAATCCAACACCTTAACCACTATGCCACCTGCTGGCCCCTTATGTAATTATTTAAAGACGGTGAGGTTGGCATCTTTGTCCTTTTTAACCAGTGAGGAAAGGAACCTTAGAAAGTTCACTTGGAAAATACAAGGTGGAACCAAAGACCTAGAGGGCAAAAAAGATATTCTTCCTCCTCTTTTCCCCAATCTCTGGTTAGGGGTTCCCATGAGATTGACCCAGAGAGGCCATGTATGTAATACTAGCAACTCAAGTAGAGGCCTCTCCACCAAGAGGCTGATCTCTTAAAGAATTCATGTGTTAATTCATGATTTGCCCAAAACGAATGAACGAATAACAACGATCAAATACATAGCTATTGAAAATATAGGTAACATTCATTGTTCATGAATTGGAGGGGATGTTTAAACTGTTACAACTATACCTTGTGTTTTCCACTCTGTACTTCTTATTTTTCAGGCGAGGAAGACGACCGGTCCTGTGGTCCACAGGCATTGGCATGTTTTTGTTTGGAATAACTGTGGCATTTACAACTGATTATTACAGCTTCATGGGTGCTCGCTTTTTTCTTGCCATGGTGAGCTGTGTTTTCTCACCTCTTTAATTCTGCAGCAGTATTGCCAGATTAAACCTTAATTCTCTTAGTCTTGCTCATTTAGAATCTAATGAGAGACATCAAGGACTAATCTCCTTTCACTGCAGACGTCTTTCTGTGGAATAGTAATGCCCTATGTTTAGAATGGAACTCATTAAAATGAAAAATTGTTGCTTACTAGACAGACACTTTTGTTTGACTGTCTGGCACTTGGCCTACATCCCACATGAACATTATTGACTCGTCAGCATGTGTGCGCTGTGGGCACATATGAGAGAGAGAGAAAAACTCCCCAGTGGGACATGGTTATGCTGCAATCCTTTTCCCTCCATTTCTCCATCCCTTCAAGATTTTAGGTGCATACACACATGCCTGGAGTCCTTTTCAAGCTGCCAGGGCTGAGATTCAAGCTGTGGTCCACCACGTGGGATCTGGCTTCCTATGCACTGTAGGGCTGGCCCCTAAGGCATCATTTTATTTCTGAGCAATTATACTGGTCTGGTCAGTATTAGGACCCAACAGAGTGAGGCGTATTGTTAAAGCTCTTTGCATAACGTGCAGTAAGAACAAAAACAAGGACAAGGGAGTGTGGAGAAAAGGGCATGTGTTTGAATACCAGCTTTATTATATATTGGCTTATTAGTTTTATGACCTTAAGCAAACGTGTCCTCTTTTTCACAAAAAAGTTTGTGGAAAATAGAATTAAATATGAAGGATTGAGTGTATGTGTGCATGCAAAATCATGCATAGTTTTTCATAGTACATGTTTTCCGTGAACTTTTTGAAGACCCTTGTAGTACCTATTTCATTGACCTGTTGTCACAATTCCATGAGATTAAATGTAAACCTCTGAGTATAGCATCTGGCAGGGAGTAGGCACGCTTCACTGCGGTAACTATGGTTAGGAGCTGTTTTCAGGCTTGATCAGGCTTCCAGAACAGGTTTCCTATCTCAGATAGCAGCGGTGACTTTTTGTTGTTGTTGGCAGTCACTGATCCAAGAACAGTGGAGTGAAATTTTTATCTGGTCGAAGGGCTTGTGATCCCACTGATTGTGGAACTGGGCATGCATGGAAGCCCCCTCTCAGCAGGACGCATAATCCTAGGGCCCTGAAAGAAGCAAGGATAACAATTTCAGAAGAAGTCACTACATTTCTTCATAGAACAAGGAGGTGTGGTCAGTTTGGGGGTTTTCATTGATGGCTGGGAAGGGTCCCTAGGAAGCCAAGGATAGGGAGAGTATATAGGAGAAAAAAAGTAAAAGAATTGAGAGTTTTTTTTTTTTTTAAAGAGTAAATAATATATTTAGACATGTATGAGAAGACTTCAAAAAGTTAATGGAAAAATGGTATTAAAGTATGAGTTTATTTTGGTGTACAGAAAATTTGAAATCCATGCATAGTTTTTTTTTTAATAACACACATCTTCCATGAACTTTCTAAAGATCTCTTGTGAAGTTTTTTTTTTTTTTTTTTGAGAGGTTTTCGCTATAGAGTGCGTGTGCTCCCCAGACAGACAGAGAGAGACATAGAGACAGAGAGCGAGAAATCACCCCCCCAGGGGGGATGGTCACGCCACAATCCCTTCTCCTCCATTCTCCTCTCGAGATCTTGAGCACGCATGCACACGTGCCCGGCATGAGTTTTAAGCCACCGGGTCTGGGACTTGAACCATGGTCGACTACATGGGAGTCCTGCGATATAGCCATTACGCTAACTGCTAGTTCCCAAGATCTCTTGTGAAGTTTTTAAGGCAAAAGATAGCAGCCAGCAATTCTGTTTCCATGGAAGCCATGGCCATGTAGCTCCAGAGTGAGGGTTTTGGAGAGAGACCTGGTAGGACTGATGGTTCCACAGAGGCACAGGTACCGAGAGAGCATGAAGTTACTCTTTGAAAGACTTGGGAGGGTAATTCTGAAAACAGCTCTTTCAGTCTTGCAGAATCTTGTGTGTTGGTTTCCAGAGTCAAGAAAATGAGGCTGCACCAGTAGACTACTTCTGTTAGATGTGGCCTTAATTTTTCTGTGACTTCTGACTTTCATTGTCATGGGAAACGTTTTGCAGTCAAATTCTGTGTATGGGATGCCGGCAGATTCATTTACTCAGACTTGTTTGTTGATCTGCCTACAGAGTGTGATGCTAAGTAAACCAGGCTTGCTGTCTCAGTAACTACAATGCAGTGGGAAGGCAGGACATTGATAAGGCATCTTTAGAATAAATACAATATCAACCATGGGGACATGACAGTGGTGGTGGAGTTAGGGCATTCTGAAAGATTAGGGGCTTTTTAGTTCTGAGGGATGGATGAGAGAAGGGGTGGTCAGTGATTAGGCAAAACTTGCAGGATGGTAAAGATTTTGCCCTGTGTCCTAAAGGTGATTCAAATCCACAGAAGGGTTCGATTGGGGTGTAGGGGTCATTCTGGCTACTGTGGGGAATTTAGTTGGAGTAGATGTGAGGAATAGAGTGTTAGCAATGAAGATGATGGGTGTAAATGGATTCAGGAGTCCTTTAGAACTATCTAGGTGAGACTGTCTGCATCCCATGACAGAGGTAACCAGTAGGGAGTGGTACTGGCCTCATGAGACATAAGAAGCATTGACATGCCCGACGGGGACCGATGTTACAGCTTAATTGAACTGGGTAATTTTTTTGTAGTAGTTAAAGATTATCACAATCTATCACAGCTTCTAGATTCTTGGCTAGAAGGATCCTGATCATCAGTGTTCACTTCCTGAGTCTTACTGTTATGAGGTTGCATAGGGAAATAAAAGCTGTTGTAATAAGATTATGAAACTGACCATTAATATAGTAGTCCCATCAAGTACCTCCTTGTATCTTACTAGTGTCAGTCCCTTCTCACTACAGGGGTGTCCTTGCAGACCGGCCTCTTGAGATTCTCTGACGCAGGGTGAAATGACACATCTTGAAAAGGATGTGTGATGACAAAAACGTCTTCAAAAGCAATAAGGGGGAAACTGCATGAATCTTATCTAAAACCCTTGACCAATTGGAATCTGGCAGAGCTAGACCAGTCAACTTTTGAAAAAAGTGACATGTGCAAGGATAATGACATGATGAACCTTTAAAAGCATATGATTCAAATATCAAAGGATTAAGAGAGGCCTTTAGGGAAATCACAAGTGCTCTAGAATAATTTTGCAAAAATTAACTTTATGATTTGTGTTGTAAAAGTCAAATGTGAACTGTTTTTGAAGGAAAAATTCTAATCCTTTCAACAACTCCCCTCCCCCAAAATCCATCATTTGATTCATTTTTTGTTTATCTAAGAATAGGCGCATATTGTTATAATAATCTAAATTTTATTAAAGATAGACATTTTCAAAATGAAGTTTTTTCCCTGATTTTTAAAAATATGATAAAATACACAAATGTAAAATTTACTATCTTGACCGCTTTTAAGCATATGATTCAGTGACATTAAGTATATTCATGTTGTTGTGTACTCACCACCATCCATCTCCAGAACTCTTTCATCTTGCATCCCTGAAGCTCTGTGTTTATTAAACTTGTTCTCTAAGCCACCATCCTACTTTCTGTCTCTATGATTTTGGACTACTCTAGACACCTCATTTAGGTGGAATCATGTAGTATTTGTCTTTTTTGTGACTATCTTGTTTCAATTAGCATAATACCCTCAAGGGTCATCCATATTATAGCATGCATTGAATTTCTTTTTGGGGAGGCCAGCAGGTGGCATGGTGGTTAAGGCGGCTGGATCTCACATGGGCTGACTGTGTAGTTCACATTCCAGATCCAGCAGACTGAAAAACATTCTGGGCATGTGTGCTTGTGTGCACACAAAATTCCAAGAGGTAAAGGAGAAGAAAGAATTACAACTTGACCATCGCCCTGGAAGTGATTTCTTACTGAAGAGCACATGTACCGTATAGCAAAACTTAAAAAAAAAAAAAAAGAAAGAAAGAAAAGAAAAAGGTTTTTCTTTTTAAAAGCTGAATAAGGCTGAATATTTTCATTGTATGTATATATCACTTTTTCCTTATTCATTGTTTGTATATATCACATTTTCCTTATTCATTCATTTGTTGATAGGCACTTGGGTTGCTTTCACATTTTAGCTTTTTTGAATAATGCTGCTATGGACATTTTAAATATCTCTTTGGGACCCCACTTTCAATTCCTTTAGGTATATACTCAGAAGTGGAATTGCTAGATCATGTTAAATTAAACTATTTTTGCTTAAAACAGCCACTGTACTCCCACACTTTGATTCCTATGGATAAGCTGAAATAATACGTGTTAAACTGTTTTTCTGATCTGGTTGCTAAGTTACAGCCAATCACAGCAGCTAGCCTTCAGTCAATCACAGGCCTCCCTCCTTTTAAACCTCATTAATGCAAACAAACTTAAGAATGCAACCCATGATTTCTCTACCTCACTCCCTCACTTAGGTTTTGTGTAAGACACTTTCCTTTTACTACACACCTCACTTAACTCTTCTGCAGACTTAGAAGGCCTAGTTGACCATGAGACTAGCTGGCATTGCCCAGAAGTCTGGGGACAACTGCCTGATTTAAATTGTGTTAAGATTTTACTCTGCTAAAACTCTACTCTATTAAATTGGCTGGCTTACTTTTCTTTTAACAATCATATGATAATTCTATTATTTTTAAATTTGGCACAGAATGTGTGTGCTTGCCAGTGAGAGAAAGAGAAAGAAGGAAAGCAAGAGAACACCTCCCCTGCCCCCATGAGGCATGGTCAATGTGAAGCAGGAGAACCTCCATTTTGAACTCCTTTCTATTTTGGAAACTTACTCCCTCCTTTTTCCTAGAGTAAACAGAGTGGTTAACATTCTTACTGTCTTTGCTAAATAACCTGAAACTCCCTACCTTAAGATGTTCTAGGTGGTGTGATAGTTAAGGCACTGGACACGCCCACATGGCTCACTATGGTTTGAGTCCTGGACCTGGTGGCTCACTTCCTCTCTCTCTCTCTCTCTCTGGTCAAATTAAAATTAATGAATGAATAATTTTTAAAAATGTTGTCATTGTGTACACCCTAGAAAGAGACAGGACATGGTGGTGGTAGGGGAACAGTAGCCCACCCAGACAGACAGAGAGAGAGACAGAGAGACAGAAAGCGAGAAATCACTCCCCCAGGGGGGATGGCCACGCCGCAATCCCTTCTCCTCCGTTCTCCTCTCGGGATCTTGGGCACGCACACACACGCGCCCTATAGCGAAAAAAAAGTGAGTTTTAAGCCACCGGGTCCAGGAAGTGAACCGCAGTCAATTACGTGGGAGTCCAGCGACATAGCCATTACGCTAACTGCTGGTCCCCAATAAATAATTCTTAAAAAAATAAAAAGATGTTCCTTAGTGATGTAATTATCAATTCCCAGACCCCTCACCCTGAGCCATGAAGACCATTAAGATTCCATTGTATTTAGGCAAGGGACTAGAAAGTGCCCTTAGAAATTAACCTGCTTGATCTGGCTTCTGTAACTGCTTTCCCACAGGAATCCCTTCTCCCTTTCTTCTCTGCCCCCTCTTCAATGGTTACTGCTCCTGCTGCATCAACCCAAAGATGCTTTTTGCCTTTATAAACTCCCTCCTTCCTTACACTCGAGGCTGCAGAGTCTTTGAAGACATGAGTCCTCCCACAGCCACTGACTTTTTGTTAATAAAGACTCCTATATTTTGGCTATATCTAGATGTTCTCTTAATTTTCACTATGATCAGACTACAACAAATGCTGCAATTTCTTCACCTCCATTTCTCCCTCCTTTCAGGATTCTGAGTGCACAAACACTTGTGCCTGACATGTTTTTCAAGTCACTGGGTCTGGGTCTCAAACTATGCAGTCAGCCATGTGGGGTCCAGCTGCCTTAAGTGCCATGCAATGGGCTGGCCAGGTAATTTTATTTTTAATTTTTTGAGGTATTGCCATATTGTTTTTTGTAGAAGCTATATCACTTTGATTTTTTTTTTTTTTTACAAACAGTACATAAAGGGTCCAAGTTCTTTTCATCCTTGTCAACACTTGTTACTTTCTGTTTGTTTTTATAATAGCCGTCCTAATGAGTGCAAGGTAGTATCTCATTGAAGTTTTGATTTGTATTTCCCTAATGATTAGTGATGTTGAGCATCTTTTCATGTGCTCTTTGGCCATTTGTGTCTGTGGGGGTGGGGATTAATCAAATCTATTTTTCTTCCTACTGGTTACCATAAATGTTTTGTCCCCATTTAATAATTAGAATTCAATAATAAGCCCCTACTCAATATGCTCCGAATGTCTGCTCTTTATGGCCGAAACTGAAAGATTGGAAGATACAGTAGCAGAGGCAGCAAGTGTAAACACCGGAGACTGTTATTAGAGGGGCTGGACAGTTGGGAGTAAGAGGAAGGGGCGAGGGGAAAAAAAATTTAGCAGACACAAGAATGGAAGGTTACTGAGTACAGTGGTATCTTCGACTTACTTGATATGAAATTCATTTAAGATCTGAGAACCCTGTATGCTGTAGAAAGTATGGTGACTAGGTATAAATAAATGATAAATAAAAAAAAAAATAAAGAGCAAAAGGGGAAGGGACATAACTCCTGGAACTTACTCAGGATGCTGAAGTTTCTAGTAAAGTCTCTATCTTAAATGCATTGAAAACACCTGACTGCAAACCCATTTGCAAAGGGATCTGTGGAGACAGCACGGAGAATGTGCTTAAATGAATATAGATACAAACATATTTATTTTGCCATTAAAAAAAAAAAAGGAGGACACCAACAATAAGGATTTCCTGAATACAGGTAAATTGAGATTTACAGTTACATACAAAGAATTACAAAATAAATCCATATTATAATGGAACATTTAAATGAAGCAAAAGGCAGTGTCTAACATTTATATCATGAGTGATCTTTCAAGGTCTGCCATTTAGGCAAGAAGGGTAGAAGATGAAAGGACCCATTTGAAGAAGAAAGATGAATCAGATTGAATGTCATGTTATGAACGTGATAGGGGTTTCTGAAAGCAGTTCTTTGTCATTTTCTTTATTGTCTATAGGTGATTTGCAGAGAGGTCAGATTCTTCAGTAATTATAATTGTGCCCTTGAGAATAGGGTCTCCCCATTTTCTTTTTCAGATGACAAGTGGCTACGTTGTGGTGGTGTTTGTCTATGTGACAGAGATCATTGGTATGAAGTCTCGGACATGGGCATCCATGCAATTGCACTCCTTTTTTGCCATTGGAGCAGTGTTGGTGGCTTTGACAGCCTATGTGGTCAGGACCTGGTGGCTTTATCAGTTAATCCTCTCCACAGTGACTATCCCCTTTATCATGTGCTGTTGGATACTTCCAGAAACACCTTTTTGGCTTCTCTCAAAGGGACGATACAGAGAAGCACAAAATGTAGTGGACATGATTGCCAGGTGGAATGGAACACGTTCCTATAAACTGTCAGAACTTTTATCTCTGGATCTAAGTGAGTTTACTCATAATAAGCCCTCTAAAACTGAGAAGCACAGCCTATGTGAACTGTTTCGTGACTGCGATATTACAACAAGGACACTTATTCTTTGGCTGGTGTGGTTCACGGCGAGTTTGGGATTCTACACTCTCGCCTTGAATACTTACAGTTTAGGAGGCAATGAATACTTAAACTTCTTCCTCTTGGGTAAGTAGTTAAAATATATTTAAATGTTGCAATGAAGTGACATTTCAACCATGTTTTTGGTATGTTTTTATTGTCTTTTTTTTCCCAAGAACTTTATAGGTAACTTCTGTAATGACTGGTTTGTACACTTGCAGGCCTTCTTATGCATTTCCATATACTTATTCACATAATTGTTTTGTGTTTTAACATAAGTGAGATCATTTACTACATACTGTTCTTTGTATGTTGCTTTTCTTTTAAAATGTAATATGCTGGGACCAGCAGTTAGCATAATGGCTATATCGCTGAACTCCCATGTAGTCGAACACGTTCAAGTCCCGGACCCGGTGGCTTAAACCCACCTTCAAATGTCTTTAATTTAGAAATCTCAGTTGGTAAAATAACTTAAATACATACAACTGTAAGTGCTGTATAATTTTGTCACACTTCTTTTATTTTAGTAGCAGGTTAAAATGACTTTAGATAGCTCTCATTGTGGGCCAGCCCCATGGCCTAGTGGTTAAGGGAACCATGTCTCACAGGGCTGACTGTGGTTCAAATATTGGCCCCAGAGGGACCAGAAGTTGGCGTAATGGCTATGTCGCTGGACTCCCATGTAGTTGACTGTGATCCGAGTCCCAGACCCAGTGGCTTAAACTCTCGCTGGGTGTGTGTGCGTGTGTGCCCAAGATCCCAAGAGGAGAATAGAGGAGAAGGGATTGCGGTGTGGCCATTCCCCCCGGGGGGTGATTTTTCACTTTCTATCTCTCTGTCTTTCTCTGTGTTTCTGGCGAGTGCACACGCCCTATAGTAAAAACCTCTCTCTCAAAAAAAAAAAAAATATATATATATATATACAAATATACATATATATGTTCTGTAGGGGCCAGCAGCTGGCATAGTGGTTCTATATCGCTGGACTCCCATGTAGTCGAACACGTTCAAGTCCCGGACCCGGTGGCTTAAACCCACCTTCAAATGTCTTTAATTTAGAAATCTCAGTTGGTAAAATAACTTAAATACATACAACTGTAAGTGCTGTATAATTTTGTCACACTTCTTTTATTTTAGTAGCAGGTTAAAATGACTTTAGATAGCTCTCATTGTGGGCCAGCCCCATGGCCTAGTGGTTAAGGGAACCATGTCTCACAGGGCTGACTGTGGTTCAAATATTGGCCCCAGAGGGACCAGAAGTTGGCGTAATGGCTATGTCGCTGGACTCCCATGTAGTTGACTGTGATCCGAGTCCCAGACCCAGTGGCTTAAACTCTCGCTGGGTGTGTGTGCGTGTGTGCCCAAGATCCCAAGAGGAGAATAGAGGAGAAGGGATTGCGGTGTGGCCATTCCCCCTGGGGGGTGATTTTTCACTTTCTATCTCTCTGTCTTTCTCTGTGTTTCTGGCGAGTGCACACGCCCTATAGTAAAAACCTCTCTCTCAAAAAAAAAAAAAAAATATATATATAGGCCCCAGAGACCTAAAAACATGCCAGACGTATGTGTGTGCCTGTGCCCAAAATTCTGATAGGATTGAGAAATGAAAGGAAGAAATTGTGGCATGACCATGTCCCATTGGTGGCTGCTTTCTCCCTTTCGCTCTCTGTCTGTCTCTCTCTGGTGAGCACATGCCATTTTTCTGGCAATAATAATAATTTTAAAAAGATAGTTTGTGATATGACTCATAATGTAAACCAAAAATTTGAACTCAAGGGAACCAGCAGTTAGCGTAATGGCTATGTCGCTGGACTCCCACGTAGTCGACCACGGTTCGTGTCCCGGACCCGGTGGCTTAAAACTCACGCCGGGCGCGTGTGCTTGCGTGCCCAAGATCCCGAGAGGAGAATGGAGGAGAAGGGATTGCGGCGTGACCATCCCCCCTGGGGGTGATTTATTGCTTGCTGTCTCTGTGCCTCTCTCTGTCTGTCTGGCGAGTGCACGCACCCTATAGCGAAAATCTCTCAAAAAAAAAAAAAAATTGAACTCAACAGGAGAAAAATATTAGACATCTATATTTATCTATCTTGTCTTTATTCTTGGTTATTTCTCTGTAGGCTGCCTGTATTTTACATTATTCTTAGGAAATCTTTTTAAAAATAATTTTTATTTATTAATTTTAATTATTATTTATACATTTAATCGCTATACATCATTTAGATTGTAAAGAGACTTTACCCAGCATGACACACACCTCAGTCCAGCCCAGTTGAGAACGTAAACACGTCCTCATCAACAAATAATATTTTGTACACATAGATACCATCCCTTTGCATTTCAGTGTTCTTATAATACATCTATCTTTGTTACAGCTCAGCAGGCATTATGAAAGAAGTTGTTTTTAGACAATCTCCTTGGGGGCCAGCAGGTGGCATAGTGGTTAAGGCGTTGTACTCCCACATGTCAGAATGCAGTTCGAATCTTGAACCTGGAAGCTTGAAACTCACACCAGGCATGTATGTGTGCATGCCCAAAATCCCAAGAAGAGAATAGAGAAGGGATTGTGGTGTGGCCATCTCCCCTGGTTGGGTGATTTCTGACTTTTTTGTCTCCTGTCTCTCAGGTGAGCACATTTGCCTTATGGCAAAGACTCTCTAAAAAGAAAAAAATTTGTTTTTACTTTGGGCAAACTAACAGGTTTGTAGGAAGAGCCTGCCCATGTGTTCGTTAGAGAAATGATGCAGTATTCTCAGCACAGAGCAGCAAATGATAGGATGGTCAGATTGGGTAGAGTGTGCTTGGGAAAGCTTAGGAAAGCTGGAAGTTTATATCTTTTTTTTTTTTTTGAGAGATTTTCACTGTAGGGTGCGTGCGCTCGCCAGACAGACAGAGACATAGAGACAGAAAGCGAGAAATCACCCCCCAGGGGGGATGGCCACGCCGCAATCCCTTCTCCTCCATTCTCCTCTCGGGATCTTGGGCACGCACGCACACGCGCCCGGCGTGAGTTTTAAGCCACCGGGTCCGGGACACGAACCGTGGTCGACTACGTGGGAGTCCAGCGACATAGCCATTACGCTAACTGCTGGTTCCCTGGAAGTTTATATCTTTACAACTCAACTTCTTTCTTTTTTTCTTTTTAATTTTTATTGTTATTGTTTTTTTGGTCAGAGGATGCATGTCAGAGAGAGAGAGCAAGACTGGAAGGGTTGGAAGGGTGGGGAGGCTGCTGAAAAGGGGCCTTGGTTTCCTAAAGATCTCACTTCCAGTCTCTGAGCTTTCACTTATGATCTGGCTCAAATATTTCACTCTTTGCTCTAAAGTGGGGACAGTAATCAAGGCCTACTCTCATGAGGCTCTTTTGAGGATCATTGTCTTAGTGGATCTTGGAAAGTAGTTAATAAACTCCTTAGGGGAAAAAAAAGATAGGGGTCAGATAATGGCACAATGGAAACACAACTGGACCCACATGGGAAAGGTCCTGGGTTTGAGTGTCAGGACCGCTTGACCATAAGAGCATGTCACACACATGTGCCATGATCTGGGCTGGCTGAGACTTGCAGCGGATCATGGAGTGAAAGCCTGTTGGGACTACCTGTCTCTGTCATGAAAGATAGGTGAATAAACTTAATCTATTTTAAATTTAATTAATTTATTTTGCTTTTAGTTTGCCATAGGGCATGTGCTCTCATCAGAAAGAGAGAGAGACAGATCATCTCTCCCCTGCCAGGGGTGATGGCCCTGCCGCAATCCCCTCTCCTCCATTTCTCTTCTCCAGGTTCTGGGCACACATCCATAGGCTCTCAGTCTGGTTTTTGACCTGCCGAGTCTGGATCTCGAACTGCACAGTTGATCATGTAGACCCAGCCTTCTTAACCACTACACCACTGGGTAGCCCAAACTTAAATTTAAAAAGATGTGTAAAGTAATAGACGTACATACTACTTTGGGCAAGCATGGACCTGGCAGCAGGGCCCACGAAAGGAGGCTGTTCCTTCAGAGCTGTTCATGTTTTTCTTAACGAAGGGAAGCAAGACCATCTCTCAAAGGGAGCGCTGAATGCTGATGTGTGCCTTTTCCTGGGCCAGTTCCATTTCTATCAGCTGCAACTGAGTTTAATTTCTGCTGTATAACTAACAATGTTTATGCAGAAAATATGTACCCACCTCCTAGGATGTTCCTGAAGCGGTGTGAGACACATCGTCCCACACCTGTCTCTCCAAGCTCCTGTAACAGTCCAGAGTTGAACGGACAAGTACACTTCTACATGGCAGTAGTTGGTTGTGTTCTTGAGGTTAGGCAAATTGTAGAGGGTAGAGAATCACAGACCTGTGAATTAAGGAGGCAATTTGTGCTGCTAAACGGTGAAATCTTCCTAAAGGAAACTTGGGTTTGTTCAGTTTTTATTTATTTATTTATTTTTGAGAGGTTTTTGCTATAGGGCGCATGTGCTCGCCAGAAAGACAGAGAGAGACGGAGAGACATAAAGTGAGAAATCACCTTCCCCAACAAGGAGCAAGAGAAATAAAAAGAGGGTTTATAGGTTACAAATATGAAAGGGAAAAAATACAACTCTTCATTTGGAGAGGTTTTATCTGGTCTAATGTATGCATGAGGGTACTTCAAAAAGTTCGTGAAAACGAAAAGTATAAGTATATTTTGGTGCCCCCCAAAAATGTTGATATCTATGTATGGCTATTTTTATAATATGCATTCAATGAACTTTTTTTTTTTAGAGATTTTTGCTATAGGGTGCATGTGCTTGCTAGAGAGACAGAGAGAAAGAGAGACAGAAAGCGAGAAATCACCTCCCCCATGGGGGGCATGGCCATGCTGCAACCCCTTCTCCTCCAGTATCCTCTCAGGATTTGGGGCACATATACACACATGCCCAGTGTGAGATTTCTTTTTAGAGAGATTTTTGCTATAGGGCGCATTTGCAAGCCAGAGAGAAACAGAGAGACAGAAAGCGAGAAATCACCCCCCAGGGGGGATGGCCACGCCGCAATCCCTTCTCCTCCATTCTCCTCTCGGGATCTTGGGCACGCACGCACACGCGCCCGGCGTGAGTTTTAAGCCACCGGGTCCGGGACACGAACCGTGGTCGACTACGTGGGAGTCCAGCGACATAGCCATTACGCTAACTGCTGGTTCCCTGGAAGTTTATATCTTTACAACTCAACTTCTTTCTTTTTTTCTTTTTAATTTTTATTGTTATTGTTTTTTTGGTCAGAGGATGCATGTCAGAGAGAGAGAGCAAGACTGGAAGGGTTGGAAGGGTGGGGAGGCTGCTGAAAAGGGGCCTTGGTTTCCTAAAGATCTCACTTCCAGTCTCTGAGCTTTCACTTATGATCTGGCTCAAATATTTCACTCTTTGCTCTAAAGTGGGGACAGTAATCAAGGCCTACTCTCATGAGGCTCTTTTGAGGATCATTGTCTTAGTGGATCTTGGAAAGTAGTTAATAAACTCCTTAGGGGAAAAAAAAGATAGGGGTCAGATAATGGCACAATGGAAACACAACTGGACCCACATGGGAAAGGTCCTGGGTTTGAGTGTCAGGACCGCTTGACCATAAGAGCATGTCACACACATGTGCCATGATCTGGGCTGGCTGAGACTTGCAGCGGATCATGGAGTGAAAGCCTGTTGGGACTACCTGTCTCTGTCATGAAAGATAGGTGAATAAACTTAATCTATTTTAAATTTAATTAATTTATTTAGCTTTTAGTTTGCTATAGGGCATGTGCTCTCATCAGAAAGAGAGAGAGACAGATCATCTCTCCCCTGCCAGGGGCGATGGCCCTGCCGCAATCCCTTCTCCATTTCTCTTCTCCAGGTTTTGGGCACACATCCATAGGCTCTCAGTCTGGTTTTTGACCTGCCGAGTCTGGATCTCGAACTGCACAGTTGATCATGTAGACCCAGCCTTCTTAACCACTACACCACTGGGTAGCCCAAACTTAAATTTAAAAAGATGTGTAAAGTAATAGACGTACATACTACTTTGGGCAAGCATGGACCTGGCAGCAGGGCCCACGAAAGGAGGCTGTTCCTTCAGAGCTGTTCATGTTTTTCTTAACGAAGGGAAGCAAGACCATCTCTCAAAGGGAGCGCTGAATGCTGATGTGTGCCTTTTCCTGGGCCAGTTCCATTTCTATCAGCTGCAACTGAGTTTAATTTCTGCTGTATAACTAACAATGTTTATGCAGAAAATATGTACCCACCTCCTAGGATGTTCCTGAAGCGGTGTGAGACACATCGTCCCACACCTGTCTCTCCAAGCTCCTGTAACAGTCCAGAGTTGAACGGACAAGTACACTTCTACATGGCAGTAGTTGGTTGTGTTCTTGAGGTTAGGCAAATTGTGCAGGGTAGAGAATCACAGACCTGTGAATTAAGGAGGCAATTTGTGCTGCTAAACGGTGAAATCTTCCTAAAGGAAACTTGGGTTTGTTCAGTTTTTATTTATTTATTTATTTTTGAGAGGTTTTTGCTATAGGGCGCATGTGCTCGCCAGAAAGACAGAGAGAGACGGAGAGACATAAAGTGAGAAATCACCTTCCCCCCCCCCCCCCGGGGGGATAGCCACACCGCAATCCCTTCTCCTCTATTCTCCTCTTGGTGTGAGTTTAAACCACCAGGACCGGGACTCGAACTGTAGTCGACTACAAGGGAGTCCAGCGACATAGCCATTACTCCAATTGCTGGTCCGGGTTTGTTCAGTTTTGCTAGGAAGATTTTTTTTTTTCTGCTTATTCCACGTTTGGTTCTACCTGATAACCATAAGGCCTCACCTCCCCCACCCCACCCTTTTTTTTTTTTTTTTTTGTCTGAATCTAAGATTTGAACTTTGGTTCTACAAGGGAAGGGCTTTTAAGCCAAAGAGTTCATAGATGTTGTTCTTGCTACGGAGAAGTTAAAAAGAGAACCAAGACAAAGACTCTGTTCTGTAGGGATTGATATTAAATTTTAAAACATTTTACTTCTTCTTTTTTAATTATCAGAGGGTGCATGTGCTTATCACAGAAAGGCAGATGAGAGAGATGGAGAAAGCACCCCCAGTGGGGTGCGGCTATGCCACAATCCCTTTTCCTCCATTTTTCCATCCTGTGAGGATTCTGGACATGCATGGACAAGCTGCAAAGACTGGGATTTGAACAGTGTGATCTAGCTCACCAAACCATGAAACTATGGGCTGGCCCAACTGGTGTTTTACTTTTACATTTAAAATCTATTAAAGGGATTGTTGTTAGGTTCATGTACGTAGCTGATACTGAGCTTTCTACTTTAGTTTTGTCAAACATAATACGAAATCAAATTTAAACATTTTTAAAGTTCATTGTGTGCAAACAGAGCAGTTCATGAACTGGGAGACTTGAAACCAAGTGTTAAGAAGTGTGCTTTACAAGTTACAGGATGGTTTGTAAAGGATGACAGAGGAAGTATTCAGACCTTTTGTGTGATAGACTGTCACGCATTAACATTCTTTTTAGGGCAAGCAGAACTGTCCAAGCAGGTTTGCTTGTAGCTGACTGGCTTACTTTCACCGAATCATACTGACAAGCTTAAGCTGTTTTGGGTTTCATTTATGATTAGAGGTAAAACAGAGAAATCAAGGTGACTTCAGTTTCAGTTAACAAGGTTATGAGTAGTTGAGCCTGGGGTATATCTAAATGATAGGCTCCATATTTATTTATCTTTTTTGAGGGGGGAAGATTTTTGCTATAGGGCAGGTGCACTTGCCAGAAAGACAGAGAGAGAGAAAGAGACAGAAAGTGAGAAATCACCCCCCCCACGCCGCAATCCCTTCTCCTCCTTTCTCCTCTCAGGATCCTGGGCATGCATGCACACGTGCCCATCGTGAGTTTAAGCCACCAGGTCTGGGACCCGAACCACGGTCGACTACATGGGAGTCCAGCAACATAGCCATTACACTAACTGCTGGTCCCACATATTTATTTATCTTCAACAGTTTTTATGCTTGACGTTATTGATATAAAAAATCTCCCCATTCTGCCAAGCATCAGAAACCAAAGATCAAAAATATTGATGTTTATCATTTACTTATTTATTCATTCCATGGGCATGTCCTCTAGGCATGATGCTGTATGGTGGGGAGCATCCAGCTTTGTAGGGAATAAGATTCCTGGGACAGGTGGAAGTGCCAGGTGGGTTATGTGAGCCTTAGAGTGGTATGCAGGAAACACTCTTCCTGACTGCAGTGTGTTTAAAAGGAGCAGGACTCGCTGTGTTTAAAAGGAGCAGGACTCGCTGCTTCGCAGGCAATCCTTCAGTAGTTAGCTCTTAAAGGTCCCTGGAAGTGGGCTGATTATTGTTTCTGAGTGGTGGGTTAGAAGGCAGGCTTCCCCTATAAAGTTGGGCACCAAGGCTTATAGACATCTTTTCCCTCCAAAACAGGTTTAGCAGAAATTCCTGCCTACACCTTGGTGTGCATCTGCATAGACAGGGTTGGGAGAAGAAACGCTATGGTGTTTTTCCTCTTCTCCAGCTCCCTGACTTGCGGTCTGATCGTAGTGATCCCTCAGGTGAGTTATTCTGGTTTGTTTTTAGGAAACAATTATACTGTGACAGTTGAAAGGATTTTCAAGTATTTCAGTAAATAGGAAGATTTTTAAGTATTACAGTAAATATGAAGATCAATTCAGACACATGGACAGAGTAGATTTATAACATTTGGATAACAAACATAAACATTAGTAGTTTTGTAACATGTTTCTTTAAAAATTCTGTTCTTTCTCTGTTATATAAGTTATATATGTGCGTTGTAGAAGATTTAAGGGAAGAAAATTTTTTAAAGCGCATGATGGGACCAGCAAATGGCGTAGTGGTTACATTGCTGGAATCCTGCATGTTCAGCTGTGGTTCCAGTCTTGGCCCCGGTGGCTTGAAACTTATGCCCCTGCTTGTGTGTGTGTGCTCAGGATCCTGAGAGAACAATGGAGAAGAAGGGATTGCTCTCCGGTGAGTGCATGTGCCCTAGCCAAAAAACGCTTAAAAAAAAAAGAGGAAGGAGAAGAAGGAGAAGAAGGAGAAGGAGGAGGAGGAGGAGGAGGAGGAGGAGGAGGAAGAGGAGGAGGAGGAGGAGAAGTAGTGCATTACGGGGCCAGCAGGTGCTGTGGTGGTTAAGGTGCTAGACTCCTACATAGCCAACTGTGATTCAAGTCCCTGGTAGCTTGCCTTCTCTCTTTCTCCTTCTCTCTGTCTCTCTCTAGTGAGCACACATGCCCATAGTAACTTAAAATAATAATAATAAACAGGTCAGCAGATGGTATAGTGGTTACATCACTGGACTATCACATGGCAGACTGTGATACAGTCTCAGACCTAGTGGCTTGAAAATCATGCTGTGTGTGTGTGCATGCGTGCCCAAGATCCCAGGAGGAGAATGGAGGAGAAGGGATTACAGACTGGCCATCTCCCATGGGGGGTGGTGGATTTTTCACTTTCCCTCTCACTGTTTCAGTCTCTCTCTTTGGTGAGCGTATGTGCCCTAGGGCAGAAACTTCTTAAAAAAAAATAATTAAATTAAATAAATAATTCTTAAAAAAAAAAAAAAAGACCCATTATCCCATTTTGCAGAAATGACCAGTGTCGTGTTTTACAAACTCAGTATCTTTTTTTTTTTTTTTGGTAAGGAAGATTTTTGCTGTAGGGTGCATGTGCTTGTTGGAGAGACAGAGAGAGACAGAGAGACAGAAAGCAAGACATCACCTACTCCCCCTGGGGTGGGATGGCCATGCTGCAATCCCTTCTCCACCCTCTTCTTGGGATCTTGGGCATGCATGCATACGTAACTGGTGTGAGTTTTAAGCCACTGGATCTGGGACTCAAACTGCGGTCAACTACATGAGAGTCCAGCGATGTAACCATATGCCATCTGCTGGTCCCTAATCTCAGTATCTTTGTGAGACGAAAGTTGATCACACCTTCCAGTCATCATCGTTGTACTGAACATTCACTCGTTTATTCATTCAGCACAGATTTGTTCAGCATCTATTATGTGCTAGGTGAATCAAGTTTCTGTAAGTGTAATGAAAGAAAACAAACAGCATGAGGGATGGAGTGATGAGAGAGAAAGAGAGAGAGTGTGTATGAATTAGAAAGAGAAGCCATACATGTGTCTATGTTGAGGGGCCCGTGAACCTCTCAAAGACGGTGACATATGATCAGAAACATGGAGGGAGGAGCCGTGGAAACATCTGAAGGATACAGTGAATCAAACATTCAGGGTTATTCCAGTTGAAGTACTCTAGTTTTTCACTGAAGTAGATTAGTAGTTTCTAATATCTAGTATGTGCAATACCCTAAAGAGCTTGATTTGAATAAAACGGCTTTTTAATGAGAAACACTGCCATAAGATACTACAGTAGAATGAGGTTGACATTCCTGTATTTTGGCAAACTATTAAGACATCCCTCTCAGAACACCTCTTGCATCCAGAACTCCATCCCCTCTTTCCCCAGAAAAGTGATTTCAATATTTTGCTTTATTTTTAAAGAATTTGCTATAGGGCATGTGTGCTCACTGAAGAAAGAGAGAGAAAGAGAGCGAGGGAAAGTACCCCCAAGGGGGAGAATCATGCCTCAGACCCTTCTTCATTTCTCCTGTCAAGATTTTGGGCATTTACACACAAATACCTGGCATGTTTCTCAAATTGTAGGTCCAGGGCTCAAACCATTCAGCTGGCCATGTGGGTTCCAGTTGTCTTAACCAACATACTACTGGCTGGCCAAGTACCAGTATTTATTTATAGAAATTATTGCTATAGGGTATGAGTGCTTACCAGAGAGGCAGAGAGACAGAAAGAAGTCACCTGGGCATGCTGCAATTCCTCCTTCTCCATTCTCCTCTTGGGATCTTGGGCATACACGCACACGTGCCCAGTGTGAGTTTGAAGCTGCCCGGCCTGGGACAAGAACTGCGATTGACTACGTGGAAGTCCAGTGACGTAACCATTACACCATCTACTGGTCTCAAGTGCCAGCATTTTAATTCTCAATTTGGAAATTATAGTCACTAAATCAGTTCTTTAAAATATTTTGTGTGTTTTTCTCCAGTAGTCACATAATTACTAGGTAATAGAATATCAATGCTTAGAACAAAGTGTTTTGAGTTTTGTGAGTGGTTTGCAATTTAATTTAAGCTAACATGTCTTCCTCTCAGTAGCACTTCACTTAATTATCAGGGTTAATGGACCAAATATTCCATGTAGCTGAAATATCCAGGTGACTGACGTACACAGCTAGCAGGAATTTTCAGGAATGCAACGACACTATTCAGGACAAGGAGGCTTCTGCCAGTTTGAAGGAACTTCATCCACGCTTAAAAAAGTATCGGTAGTTTGCAGTTATATTCGTTGAATTATAGCAGTTGACCTTTGAGCTGGTGAAGATTTAGGTGAATCCCAGCACCTTGATATCCTGCAGTGATGAGGATGACAAAAAAGTGACTGATGGAAAGTTCCAGAATGAATGTTAACCCACAACTACAAATCTTTCCCCCTTAATAAAATTTTTCTCCTAATGATAATGTCAATGCAATATGGATTACTTTTAATTTAAATGAATTTTTAAAAATTTATTGATTTATTTATTTGTAGAGAGAGGAGAGAGAGAGACCCCCCCAGGGTCCTCATGCCATGATCCACTCCCAGTCTCAGTCAGCGTGGATCATGGTTACACATGAACATGCAAGGCATATACAGGGAGATTCTCTGACACGAATCCAAGACCTTTCCTATGTGGATCCAATTGTGGACCTGGCCCCAAATTGTTTTTATTTATTTTTTAAAGAACTTTTTATTTATTTAACTCCATTCATTATTATTATTTTTTAATTTGACCAGAGACAGAGAGAGAGAAAAAGTGAGAAAGCAAGCCGCCAGGTCTAGGACTCGAACTGTGGTTGGCCATTTTGCAATCCAGTGCCCTTAACTACCACACCACTTGCCAGTCTCCCCAATTTATTTTTAAATCACACTAGTTTAATCAACTAATGTTGTGTTGAATATGAAGGTAACTCTAGCTGCTTTAATGGAGTTAATAACTGTATCGTAAATAGAGGCATCAGCAACTTAACATAATGGACATTTGTTTCTTGAACATAGAAAGTCTGATGTGGGTTGGGCCAGTCCTGTGGCCTGGTGGCTAAAGGAGCTAGTTCCCACATGGCCAATACATGGTTCAGATCTTGATCCTAGTGGCTTAAAAACACACTGGACCAAACTCCCAACAGGAAGGAGAAATGGAGAAGGGATTACAACATAATCATGCCCCATTAGGGGGTGCTTTCTCCCTCTGCCTCTCTCTGACAATGCGTGCATCCTCTAGCAAAAAAAAAAAAAAAAAAATTAAAAGAATTATTTATTTTTTATTTTATTTATTATGATTATTTTTCAATTTTGATCAGAGAGAGACAAACAGAAAGGGAGCATGAGAAAGCAAGCCGCCAGGTTCAGGACTTGAACTGTGGTCAGCCATGTGAGAGTCCAGTGTCTTAACCACCATGCCACCTGTCCGACCCCTCTGGCAAATATTTTTTGTTTTAAAGAAAGATAAAAAGAAAAAAAGAGTTTGATGTGGATGAATCTGGGTGAGAGGGCATTTGGCTCCTTCAAGCCACGCAGGAACGCAGGCCGACAGAGGCACTGCTGTGGTTAATGCAGAACCCTAAGGTCATCCTGGATGTTGCCTCCAGCTGGCAGATGAAGGAAAGAGATTTTGGAATATGGGAGGTATTTGTTAGCCACTGCTGGAAGTGTAAGTAGCATGAGGTCAACAGAAGCTGAGTTAGAGACATGAGAGATTTTACTGTTGAGGAATGAATCAACCAGGAGAAAAAAATGGGGGGGGGGAAATGTCTGTAGTAATATTTTAGTTATCACTTTCAAATTATTTTCTGAAGCTAATTTATAAGCCAGGGATTGCTATCACAAAGGGCACAATTAGTTTTGGTGTGCCTCGATTAATTCTGCTGCATCAGCTCTAGAAAGAGTGGGTCCATTTTTTATGTCACCGGCACTATCTAAGTGTCTCATTCTAAAGCAGTCTTCCCAGCTGGTTTTTCTTATTCTGTAGTTCAAACCCTCCGTGGTTGTGGAGGGCTGAGACACAATAAAATTTTCCTCTAAACTTCATAGAAATGCTTTTGCAAAAAAAGCTCTTACAGCTTATGAGTTTACACAGTAAACCAAAATAGAAAAACAACAGTCTTCATCATTCTGAAAAATATTGAAAAAAATCAGGAAATTTTGGGACCAGCAGTTAGCGTAATGGCTATGTCGCTAGACTCCCACGTAGTCAACTGTGGTTCGAGTCCCGGACCCGGTGGCTTAAACTCACGCCGGGCGCGTGTGTGCCCAAGATCCCAAGAGGAGAATGGAGGAGAAGGGATTGCGGCGTGGCCATCCCCCCTGGGGGGTGATTTCCTGCTTTCTGTCTCTCTGTCTCTCTCTGTCTGGCAAGCGCATGTGCCCTATAGCAAAAATCTCTCCAAAAAAAAAAAAAATCAGGAAATTTTAAGTTATCATTTTAACTTTCTCTCTTTATTCATGATAGATGACAGAGAGGAAAGAGAGAGAGAGGAGCATTGTGCACAGGGTCTGGTTTGGTCACACTGCAATCCCTTTCCTCCAGTCCTCCACTCTGTCAAATCATGGGCACTTTTGTGCATGCCTGGTGTGCAGCCCAGGCTGTTCGGGCTAGGGATTCAAACTGTGGTCACCATGTAAGATCCAGCTTTTCTTGAGCAACTCATTATCACTGCACCCTGTAGCTGGTCTTAAGTAATAAGGTAAAAGATTTTATATTTTTCTTTAAAATATTACTAATGATGGCCTATTTTTCTTTCTTTTTTTTTTCCCCAGAATTACTATCCTTGGGGTTTGGTGGCAAGTTTGACTGGAAAGTTTGCCATAGGGGCAGTGTTTGGCCTCATTTATCTTTATACAGCAGAGCTGTATCCAACCGTTGTGAGGTAAGGATGATCGTGCTGTTGTTTTCCTATTATCTCTCACTTGCATGTCATTTCGTTATATTTGGCCTTTATGTATAAATGCTTTCTTTCCACAAAGTTACCTGAGACTCTAAGAGAGAGACTCTATGAGATGGAAAAATTACAGGATGATGATAATTCTTTTTATTTATTTATTTATTTATTTTTGAGAAGAGGTTTTTGCTATAGGGCGCCAGCATGAGTTTAAGCCACTGGGTCCGGGACTTGAACCACAGTCAACTACATGGGAGTGCGGTGATGTAACCATTATGTTATCTGCAGGTCCCTAGGATGATGCTAATTCTAAATTGTGAGGTTTTGTATCTCATAAACAAGGATGCCAGAGAAATTATCCTAAACAGTTTTAAATTTTAGCTGCTATAGACTGTCACTGACTCTCCATATGCCTTAAGACTAATTTTCTTATGATATGTCTCTCAATGTTCTCGTGTCAGTTGTACTAGTTTGCTAAGGCTGACATAACAAAATACCACGGGCTGGGTGGCTTAAACAATGGAAACTTATATTGGGTCATCTGAAAAGTCATGACATTTTTCTATGCAAAAATGCATTGTGACTTATCCAGTGATCCAATATGTTCACAGTTCTGGAGGCTAGAAGTCCAAGATCAAGGAGTCAGCAAATTTGTTTTTTCCTGTGTCCTCTATCCTTGTTCTGCAGATGGCCACCTATTCTGTGTCCTCACATGGTCTTTACTCTGTGTGCGTCCTTGTTATCTCTGCTCCTTTTTATAAGAATCCCAGTCCTGGGGTCAGCAGATGGCATAACAATTATGTCACTGGACTCCTATATGGCCAACTGTGGTTCGAGTCCTGGATCTGGTGGCTTGAAACTCACACCAGGCACGTGTGCATGCTTGCCCGAGATCTGGGGAGGAGAATGGAGGAGAAAGGATTGCAGTGTGGCCATCCTCCCAGGGGATGATTTCTCACTTTTCCTCTCACTGTCTGTCTTTCTCTCTCAGCAAGCGCACATACCCTAAGGCAAAAAACTCTTAAAACAAAACAAAACAGTCCTGTTGGACTAGGGTTCCACCCAATGGCGTCATTTTAACTTACTCACCTTTTTAAAGACCTTACTTCCAAGTGCTCTTAAATTCTAAGGTACTGGGGGTTGAGACTTCAACATCTGAATATTGATTGGGGTAACACGATTTGGCCCATCATATATATCAGTAGTCACAGGCTCCCCGAGAAGATCACTTCATGTGGAGGGCCCCAAATCTAGCAGTTCATCAAACTCCTTCAGGCATTCGATAAAAATACCAGTTTGGGGTCAGCTGATGGTATGGTGGTTATGTGAGCTGGATACACCGTGGCTGACTGCACCATTCAGTTCCTGGATCCAACAGCTCGAAAAACATGCTGAGTGTCTCTGTGTGTGTGTGTGCCCAAAATCCCAGAAGGAGGAGAAGGTGTTATGGCATGACCATGCCCCATGGCAGAGGATGGGGAGGTACTTTCTTACTTTGTCTCTCTGTCTCTCTCTGGTGGGCATATATGCCTAGGGACAAACTAAAACAAACAGAAAAGAAAAAGAAAATACCAGTCTGGATGAGATACAAAGCTGGGTCACCCCAAGGACAAGAGTCAGGATTTTTAGCAAGTTGGAAGGTGATTCTGAGTGCCACCTGCTGTCCTTGGGAACATCTGATGCAAGTTCCACTGGGGATGTTCAACCTTTTTAAAAACTTTTTCAAACAACTGTTCTTGGAACCCCTTTATGTGGTTAAAAGGACAGAAGTACCTGGTGAAAGCTCTGTTGGGGATCTTCTACCTTTCTTGCTCCGACCCTCCAGACCTCAATATGACATCCTTTGAAGACCATAGTTATTATTGCAGCACCTCATATCCAGATAAGATAACTGAGCCCAGGAAGATCAGGCACCTGGTGCAAGATCCTGCTGGGACCCCAAGTAGCGTGTAAGAGATCCTTTCTCCAGTTCGCCATCTGGCTTGTGGGTCAGAACTCCGCTCCACATCTTTTGGCCCTTTCTGCCACTCAGTGAGGTACAGGAGAATTTTCACGGGAGACTGCTCACCATTTGCAAGGAAGGAGTGGCCAGCAGTTGAGCTCTGGTAGCAGAGTGGAAGAAGGCATTTTGGAGTAGGTGTTTTTTGGACTCCCCTCAGATCGGCCCATGCAGATTATAGTAGCAGATAGGCAGAATAACAGATTGCATGTACCACTCTGGGGAGACTGCAGGGGAGACTAGTTTAATGCAATAGAATGTGATGTTGTATCCTTGCCAACTCAGCCTGTGGCTCTGGCCTCCCTGTGGCTGACCCAAGGAAGTACTCTGTAAATCAGGGCCAGATCTTGGCCATGACTGTGACTGGTGGGGCCCTTCTGGCTGCTTACATGTATTTCTGCCCAGCCAGCAGAAGCTGCAGTTTTCCCCGGGTCCAAATCCAGATCAGAGAAGATCCTCCCAGTGCCTGGCACATATCAGACTCTCAACACATATTGGATGAATGTATGTTATATGTCAAAGAGTGACAATCTAATCAAATGATGTCAATGTGCACTGTAATTATGGAGATAATCATATTTTTTAAGACAATTTATGTTTGCCTGTTTTGTTAAACATTGGCTCATTGGTTTACAGCTGCAGGTACATGCCCTACCCCCCAAAAAAGAACCCAATATGTACTTTTTTTTTTTTTTAGGTTTTTCCCACAGGGTGCATGCGCACATGCACTAGAAAGACACAGAGAAAGGGAAAGCGATAAATCATCCCCCAGGTGGATGGCCACTCCACTATCCCTTCTCCTCCATTCTCCTCCTGGAATCTTGGGCATGCAATGCACACATGCCTGGTGAGATTGTAAAGCTGCCAGGTCCAGGACTAGAACTGCAACTGACCATGAGGTAGTCCAGCACCTTAACCACCACTCTACTTGTTGGCTCCAGCAACATATTATCATTTAATACAGGAGGTCTTTAGCAAACTCTGTGGGCTCTCTAAGCACTCTAACTTTGTGTGCAAAATTGTGCTTATATGTGACTTCTTTCTCAGAAGAATGTCATATTTTTTATCAGTTACTTTTAAGTGTGTGTGTATATGTGTATGTGTGTGTGTGTGTGTGTGTGTGTGCTGTGACCCACACAGCTGAACACATTTATTCTGAGTAGGAGTGATGACCCAGAAAAGATGAAATACTATTAACTTAAAGAGGTACTTATTTACATTAAAAGCACAATCTTTCCTTGATAACATTCTATAAGTTTTTCTCTTTTTTTTGATAGAGAACATGTGCGAGAGGGAAAAGAACCTTCAGCCGTCTCATCATGCATAATCTTTCCTCAGCCCTCTAATTCCTCAGACTCCTGGAGGTCTGCATTCACCCAGGGTGTTTTCAGGCTGACCTGGGAATCAACCCATATTTGGCCATATGGTTTCCAGCCTTTTAGGGCACTTACATTAGCACTGTGTCACAGCTGCTGGACCTACTAGTTTTCTTTAAATAACCTTTTTTTGGTTTATTTTTGCTCTATTTCAAATGCACTTGCTGAAGAGATAAAGAGCCAGAGAGAGAGAAAGTGAGAAATCTCCACCCCACCCCCAGGGGGGATGGCTAGCCTGCAATCCCTTCTTTTCGATTCTCTTCTGGAGATTCTGGGTCCATGCACATGCACCAGGTGTGATTTTCAAGCTGCTAGATCCAGGACTCAAACCATGGTAGGCCATGTGGGAGTTCGGCAACCCAACCACCACACCACCTGCTAGTCCCTCTTTAAATAACGTTCAAAGAAAAGCACATTAAGATATTGCTGTCTTTCCAGCGAGTGCATGTGCCCTATGGCAAAAACCTAAAATAAAGGGACCAGCAGTTAGCGAAATGGCTATGTCGCTGGACTCCCATGTAGTTGACTGTGGTTCGCATCCCAGACCCGGTGGCTTAAAACTCATGCCAGGCGCATGTGCATGTGTGCCCAAGATCCCGAGAGGAGAACAGAGGAGAAGGGATTGCGGCATGACCATCCCCCCGGGGGGTGATTTCTCGCTTTCTGTCTCTCTGTCTCTCTCTGTCTGGTGAGCGCACGCACCCTATAGCAAAAACCTCTCAAAAAAAAAAAAAAAACCTAAAATAAATAAATATTGCTTGACTTAAAAAAAATTGAAGTGAGAGACATCGCTGGACTCCCACATGGTTTACCATGGTTTATATCCTGGACTCACAGGCTTGAAACTCATGCCGGGTGTGTGTGTGCGCGCGCATGCATGCATGCCCAAAGTCCCAAGAGGAGAAGTGATTACAGCATGGCCATGCCCTCTGAGGTGTGATTTCTCACTTTCTGTCTTTCTTTCTCTGTATTGAGCGCGTGCACCCTATTGCAAAAAATCTCTCTCCAAAAATAAAAATAATAAAATTGAAGTAAAATAGTTCATGTATATACAATGTTTTATTCTCCCAAATTTCTGCTCCCTCCAACAAACAAATTTTTGTTATAGAAGACTGATAGTATTCCTACTATTTGGCTGGATCCATACATATAAGGGCCCCTTCTGCACAGCAGATGAAAACTGGTTTACCACCACTCTCAGCAGATGAAGTCTGACTTACTGGTCCTGTGCACTGTTTTTGTCTTGAATTGGTTTGAATTACCAGCATGTTTGTATACACTATTATTTCATAAAATGTAGGAACAGATCACAAGTGATTCCTGAAAAATCAAAGTAATATGGGCAATTTACTGCTAAGTGAAGCAAGTCAGACTATGAAAGAGAGGCATTGTATGTACCCATTCAATATATTCCAAATATCTACACTCTATGACAGAAACTGAAAGTTTAGAAGATATAAAAACATGGAGAGCAGCTGTGGACACTAGAGACAATTTGGGAGGAGGGTGGGAAATGGGAGGGTAAGAGGAAGGGAATCGAGGGAAAAGAGGGACCAGCAGTTAGCATAATGGCTGGGTCGCTGGACTCCCATGTAGTCAACCGTGGTTCAAGTCCCGAACCCGGTGGCTTAAACTCATGCCGGGCCCGTATGCGTGTGTGCCCAAGATCCCGAGAGGAGACTGGAGGAGAAGGGATTGCGGCGTGGCCATCCTCCCTGGGGGGTGATTTCTCGCTTTCTGTCTCTCTGTCTCTCTCTGTCTGTCTGGAGAGCACACGTGCCCTATAGCAAAAACCTCTCCAAAAATAAAATAAATACATAAAAGAGGGAAAATAAAGAAGCAAAACATTTAAGGGACACAAAAATGGAAAATTATCTGTTGATGACAATGTGTATGATAATATCTTTAACTGGACTAATATACAGTGTATTCCTGC